AATGCACTGTTCATTGTCAATTTATTCAATTCACTCCAAATTCATCTTCAGGAATTAATTACTACTATCTTTAAGCATTTATCTTTTACATACACCATATTTTGCCAATATGTTGACACACTGGTAGGACATGCGGGGCGGGGCCGGGGGGGGGGGGGTTACTTCTCTTGATACAACCAGCTGCTGCAGGGTGAAAGATGCTCCAGTAGTGCCTGGCCCACATTTGTGCCCAGAATACACAGTTCATAGACAATCTGGAAGCTCTGGTTCTGGGACACTTCTCTCTGCACACTGGCACACCATGTGCATCTCCCATACTTTGCAGCTTTGCTAATGTTTGACTAGCAAAGACTAATGAGTATCACCAAATAAATAAATCTCCAAAATCCAATAGGTTAAAAATAGCATCTAGTAGGCAAGAAGTCTCTGAAAGTGACAATGATGTCCACTTTTTGATACTTAAACTCTGATTCTCCCTTACTTAAAGCCATATGCAATTGAAATCAAACCAATACCTTAATTAGAGCTGTGTGAGATCATTAGCAGAAATTCACTAAAAAATAAGCCCACATGTGGGCCTGAGACGGGTATGGTTTGTTTTCTTATGATGTTGGGGATCAAACCCAGAATTTCACTTATGCAAAGCACATGCTTTACCACTGAATTACAACCCCAGCCCTGTTCTCTTTATGTCAAGAGTAAAAATACCTGAGTGCTCTATTCCACTAGCTGAGCACACTAGCTCACTTCTGTAACCCCAGTTACTTGGGAGGCTAACGAAGGAGAATTCTAAGTTCTAAGCCAGTCCGAACAACTTGGCAAGACTCTATCCTAAAAATTTTAAAAATTTAGGGCTGGGGATGTGGCTCAAGAGGTAGCATGCTCGCCTGGCATGCGTGCAGCCCGGGTTCGATCCTCAGCACCACATACAAACAAAGATGTTGTGTCCACCGAAAACTAAAAAATAAATAAATAAATTTTTTTAAAAAAAAATTTTAAAGGCTGGAGTGATTCAGTGATACGGTGCTTGCCTAGCATGCACAAAAGAACCAGGACTCAATACACAATACAAAAACTTTTAAAAGACCTGCCAAAAACCAAAGCAAGAACAGACTTGACCTCAAGGGGAAACACTGCAAAAATTCTGCGAAGAACACTTTCTTTTGAGACAAGGTCTAAGTTGCCCAGGCTGGCCTCAAACTTGTGATCCACCCACCTCAGTCTCCTGAGTAATTGGAATTACAGGTGTGAGCTACCATATCCAGTTTTCAGAACATTTCATCAAAATATGGCCCTTTCTCATATGTATCTGTCACTTTGTATGCTAATGTTATATCCATTACTCTGGGTTTACTGTGGTGAGCCGCTTCTGCTGTTTCTGCAGACTATGGTTGCCATTACAACATGGCGCTGGCTCCGCTGTGGTCTGTGACAAACAACTCCTTATCTAGGAAAGTTGGCACATGATTTTTCACCACCCTGTGAGAAAGCTCCACGCGGCAGCTTTGCATTGGGGCTTGGGATGCTTTATTAAGGCTGGGAGGGGCATCCGAGAGAGAGAAGAAGAAATATCAAGGGCCTGAATAAACTGCTGAAAGAAGATTCCTGAGTTGCGTCTTCCTTGCGGGCAAGGGGTCGCTACAAGTGGTGCCGAAACCCGGGAACCAGAACTTTCAGCAGTCAGGGGTGGTGCACCGGTTAGTCCCAGGTAAGTGGGATCCGCGACCAAAGCGGGGTTAGTCCCAATAAGTGGGATCCGCGACCAAAGCGGGGTTAGTCCCAGGTAAGTGGGATCCGCGACCAAAGCGGGGCAGCTCCTCTGTAAACACAGAGAGAGCCTTACATTTTATTGCGGCTGCACTGTGTACTTTCGCTTTTGTTTTCTGTGTTTCTTTTGTTGTGTCATTTCGCTTTTGTTTTTTGTGCTTCTTTTGTTGTTGTGACGACAGGGACGCTTCCCTGTAAAAGGAAGACAGCGGGGAATTCATAGAACGGAACGCTCCCCTGTAAAAGGAAGAGAGCGGGGACTTTTGTACTTTCACTTTCTTTATAGCTCTAAAAACATTATGGGCGTTGCTTCTTCAAGCCCAATTTTGTTGGCCCTAGATGGGTTGTTACATTCAAAAGGACTTAAGATAAAGCAGAGTACTTTGCAGATGTTTTTAAGAGAAGCTGATATAGCGGCTCCTTGGTTTGCTTTTTCAGGGAGTCTTACGGTTCCCAGCTGGGACAAATTAGGGAAAGATCTAGATTTCGCTCGTGAGCAAGGCACCTTAGAGGGTGGCGTTATACCACTTTGGAAGTTAGTTAGAGGATGTATAACAGATGGTAAATGCCAGGAAGCTGTGAGTGAGGGTCAAGCTATTCTCGAGCAACTGCATGAGGAAAAATCTGAAGGATCATGTAGTGAAGTGGCAGAGAGTATTAAAAGTAACAGTAGTGAGAAGGCAAAAGAGCCTGAAGATAAAAATAGGAGAAGGCTCTACCCAGACTTGACCGAATTAAAAACGCCTGAGAACACAAGCGACTCAGAGAGTTCTGAGGACCTTGATATATTGTTACAACAACTACATAAGATAAAAATGAAAAAGAAGAAAAAGGAGACACAGGGCATGCAGGCCTACTGTAAGAAGGGGAAGGGAGTTAACATTGGTCAACAAAACTCTGAGGAGGAGGAGGTAGAATATCTAGAAGAAGATATGGTGCCGATTGCCCCACCTCCATTTGTGGGGGGGAGCCAAGGTTCCGGGAGATCTTTTCATGCACAAGTTTGGAGGACAGTTAATACAGATATGGGACTTGCATACCCTGTATTTCAGGACAATAACAGGGGAAGATATCATGAGCCTTTAGACTTTAAGATAATTAAAACCTTGGCAGAATCTGTCCGCACTTATGGCATAGATGCCGCTTTCACTCTCACTCAGGTGGAGGGACTTACTAGATTTTGCATGACTCCCTCAGATTGGGCTAGTCTAGTCCGCGCTTGTGTTTCCCCAGGGAAATATTAGGAGTCCAAAGTTGGCTGTTTAATGTTTCTGGCAGTACCCAAGACTCGGAGAGAGGTAGGAGGCTTAAAATTTCTGCAAATAATTCACAATTATCTAATGCTACATTACCCTCCGCAGCAGTCCGTCTCCAATCTCCGTTCCTGTTTCTTTTGGCTAATGTTACATTACAGGGGATGCTTAATTGCTCTAATATTACCTGTTATTTGTCTGAGTGTTGGAATGGCTCCTGGACTATGGCAATGGTTATGAAATTTCCAACCTTTGTCCCGATCCCGGTTACTGCAGATCCAGAGTCATTTCCTATTGTTGAACTGATTAGAGCCCGTAGAGATTTTGGAATTACGGCAGCCATAGTGACAGCTGTGGCGGTATCTGCTGCTGCAGCAGTTATAGCTGGAGTAGCCATGGCCAGCCAGGTACAAACTGCTGCCACCATTAATCAAGTTATTCAACAAACATCCACCATACTTGAATCCCAAAGTAAAATTAATCAACACACTTTATCTGGGATTCTAGCTGCTAATCAAAGGATAGATCTGCTTCAAGCTCAAGTTGAGGAATTGTCTGACCTAGTACATTTGGGTTGTGTTGATCAACGTGCACATTTATGTATAACCTCTGTCAGATTTAATAATTCCAGAAATGCCTCCTGCATCATCGGAGAGTATCTATCCGGAACCTGGTCCATGGAAGCAGAAAACTTGACCCAGTCTCAACTAACTCAGATTGCTGTTCTGAATAGCACCCATGTCGAACCAGTGACTTTGGGTCAATTCACCAGTTGGCTATCCTCTGCCTTTTCCTTTTTTAAGGAATGGGTGGGAGTGGGCATTTTTGGTGCAATGTGTTGCTTCGGTGTTGTACTTTGTTTGTGGCTTCTCTGTCGCCTTAAAACTCGCCATGCACAAGAAAAGGCTATGATCATACAAGCTCTTGCAGCTTTAGAAAATGGCAACTCGCCTCAAGTCTGGCTTGCGCATCTTAAGCAGTAAACCTTTGTCATGGTCGTTACACCCCAAGTTATTATAACATTGCACTGGGATCGACATGACTTTCCTTGTTATTCTCTTAGTGTTGGAAAGCCCTTGCACTCTGCCGGTCTTACTGCCATTGCACGCAGATGGGTTTCCACACTAGTACTTTTCTATCGCCTTGAAGTTCGTGCCTTTCTTTCAGGGTGCTGTCAACTTGTTTGTCGTTATAAACAGCCACAGTTCAGCCTCAGCTATCCCCCTTCGTCCACCATCGTCACGATACAGGATGCGAGGCAAGGCACTGCACTTGAGTGATCCTTGACGTGGACCTCAAGGAGAGCATGTCCTATTGCATGCGGGTTAGACGCGTTCACGCCCCGCCCCACGAAAAAAGGCGTCGGCTGATATGGCTTCAGATCTGGGGAAGGGCCCTCCTTAGGACTGAGCCATACTATGCAGCCACTTCTGCACAGTGGGATAGGACCTCTACTCTCGCCTGTATTGTTTTAAGAAAACAGAAAAGGGGGAACACTGTGGTGAGCCGCTTCTGCTGTTTCTGCAGACTATGGTTGCCATTACAACATGGCGCTGGCTCCGCTGTGGTCTGTGACAAACAACTCCTTATCTAGGAAAGTTGGCACATGATTTTTCACCACCCTGTGAGAAAGCTCCACGCGGCAGCTTTGCATTGGGGCTTGGGATGCTTTATTAAGGCTGGGAGGGGCATCCGAGAGAGAGAAGAAGAAATATCAAGGGCCTGAATAAACTGCTGAAAGAAGATTCCTGAGTTGCGTCTTCCTTGCGGGCAAGGGGTCGCGACAGTTTACACTCTCACCTTGTGAGATTCTGGACTACTATGTAGCTCCTTATTCTAGTGTCACTCAGCACAAGGTTATTACATAAATGACTGTTAAAAGCTGTATATACCAGAAGGAACAGTGCACACACCTATATTCCCAGACCTTTAGCAACTTAGGAAGAACTTGTCTAAAAAAAATAGAGTTGGAGAAGAAGCTCAATGGTAACTGAGTTTAATTCTCATGTGCACGGGGTGAGGCTGTATAATTTATGAGAAAGGAGTACTACAAATATTTTAGGGAAATCAAGTACATAACTTCCAGCCAAGAAAAGTGATGGAAAAATGAACCATTCAAAGAAAAATACAACGAAAAGACAAATCATAAGTCACTTAAGTATACTCAAAATTTTATCAAATTATGTGTAAACAGACATACAGTTCCCAGTAAGTAGGTTAGTGGGGACTTTGAAAATGTCATTAATGCACTACAGAATTAAATGTTCAATGGTGGTCCAGACAAAGGTGAAAAATGTAAAATTGTATGGCCTAACGTATAACCTACCATTTAAGGCTCCCTTTTGCACTTAAAATAACAGTATTCTTTTGGTTTTGAATGGAATATTAGGTCCATTTGGTCTAAAATGTACAATGTTTCCTTAATGATTTTCAGGCTAGATGTATGAGGTATTGAATTCCCTACACACACTGTATTGTTTTTCTTTTTTAAATTTTTTAGACACAATACCTTTATTACCTTTATTTATTTTTATGTGGTGCTGAGGATCAAACCCAGTGCCTCACATGTGCTACAAGCACTCGGCCACTGAGCCATAACCCCAGCCCATGTATTACTATTTCTTTCTACACCTGTTAATATTTGCCTTTCTTATTTGAATGCTATACTGTTGGGTTCACATATACTTAGAAATGTTATATCTTTTTGATGAAGTGATCATTATCGGTTTATCCCCTGTAAGTACATCTATACATACTCTTGCTTGATTTCCACTTCTTTTTTTTTTTAAGGTGAAAATGGACACAATACGTTTATTTTATTTATTTATTTTTATGCGGTGCTGAAGACTGAACCCAGTGCCTCACACATGCTAGGCAAAGGCTCTACCACTGAGCTACACCCCCAGCCCTTGGTTTCCATTTCTAAGAGATATTTTTCCATCCCCTCATTTTCAGTCAACTTATGTCCTTTTAAAAGACAAAGGAAGCGCTTGCTTAGCATGTGTGAAGCTGAGACACTGAGTTCAATTCTCAACACCGCATATAAATTTAAAAAAATGAAGGTCCACAAACAACTAAAAAAATATATTAAAGAAAAGATGGACTCTCTCATAGATAGCCCAAAGATGTCTTTTGAAAAAGTATTATTCAATAAGACAATCTAGGTATTTTGATGGGTAAATTCAGTCATTCATTCACACTAAAATTAAACATTAAAAGGAACATACACACCATGATAGAGTGATTTATCCTTGGGATGCAAAAATGGTTTAACAAATGTAAATCAATAAATGCGATACATCACATTAGCAAAATGAAGGACAAATTATATCATTGGAAAAACATCACGTTATAACATAAAACATCATTTCATGATAACAATTCTCAATAAGTTAGACATAAAAGAAATGTACTCATACATAATGGCTATGGACAAAGCCACATTCATATTAAAGATACTTTAAAGCAGAAAACTATAGTGGAAATTAGAAATTTATAATTGAAGTCCTAAACAAATATCATTACACACAACGGGAAGAAGCTCACGGATTTTTTAAAAACGATCAAGAACAGACAAGATGCCTACTCTTCCCACTTCTATTTAATATAATAATGGGAAAAGTCTAGTCAGAACAAATTAGCCAAGAAAAATGGAAGACATCCAAATCAGAAAAGTACTAAAAATTGTTTGTGGAAAAGGACAATACTTCATGAAAAAAAAAAAAAAAAAAAAACAGAATAAATAAATTCACAAGTTGCAGGATTCAATGTTAATCTAGGAAAATCATTATTATATCTACACTCTAAAAATAACAATATGAAAAATTTCAAATCCTATTTACAAGAGTATAAAAAATGAAAACATATTTCAGAACAAATTTAAACAGGAAAAGATTTAAACACAAAAAACTATGACATTATGAAAAAAATTAAACAGTCCCAAATGAAAGGGAAAATATTTTTGCTTATGAATTGGGAGATTTTAATTTCATCCCTTCAAACTTCCAATGGCATTGTTCACAGGATTATGAAAAAAAATTTTCTAAATTCATCAGCAACTATAAGCTGAGAAAACAAAGTCAGAAAAGCAAGATTCTTGAACAAGAACAGAAATTCCAAACTTTAAATCATTATTACAAAGGTGCAATAAAAGAAACAGTATGGTACTGGCATAAAAGCTGACACACAGACCAGTGGAACAAATGAGAAAGCTCAGAAAATACACATATCATCAACTAATTTTCAATAAAATTACCAAATATGAAAAAGATACTCTTTCAAATAAATAGTATTGAGAAAGCTGTTTATATATACATAAGCAAAAAAACCAGAACTGGACCATTAAAAAAAAATAAAAGTAAGGATGTGAAACCATAAAACCTCTAGAAGAAAATGTAGAAGAAAAGCATCCTGATATTTACCTTGGCAGTGAAATTTGGAGTTAACAAGAAAAAGCAGAGGCATCAAAAACAAACAACTAGAACTACAAGAGATTTCACAAACCAAAGCAAAAACACCCATAAATAAAAAGGCAACATATTCAATGGGAGAAAATATTTGTAAACCATGTTTACAAATGAGATAATGGGTTGATATCTTGAATACTTAAGTAATTTCGTAGCAAAAACCAAAATATCCCAATTTTAAACTTAACAAAAAACTCAATAGATATTTTCCCAAAGACAAGACAATTGGCTTGTGGGTATATGAAAAGACACTCCAAATCAGTGAACATTAGGGAAATAAAAATCACTTAAGGACAGTTCAGAAAAACATCAAAAGATACAATAGCTTAGATGATAGAGGAAAAAGAACATTTCTACATTGTTGCTGGGAACTGAAATTGGTATAGTCATATAAGGTAAGGTGGTTTCTCATAAAATTAAAATACAACTACCAGGCCAGGCACATGCCTGTAATCCCAGCAGCTCAGGAGGCTGAAGCAGGAGGACTTGTGAGTTCAAAGCCAACCTTGGCAAAAGGGAGGCACTAAGCAACTCAGTGAGACCCTATCTCTAAGTAAAATAAAAAATAGGGCTGGGGATGTGGCTCAGTGGTTGAGTGCCCTCCTCCCAAAAATTCAACTACCATATAATATAACAAATCCACCTCTGGGCTTAAGGAAATAAAATCATTAATTTAAAAGCTGCACTCCTGTTCACTGCAGCAATGCTCGTGGGAGTGAAGTAGGGAAATAATGTCATATCTCCTGACAGATGAATGGAGAAAACATGGTCTTAAATAATTTGCCATAAAGTAGGAATTCCATCATATATCATAACCCAGTTTGACCTTGATGACATTATGCAAGGTGAAAGAAGTTATAGTAAGACAAATACTGCACAATCTCACAAGTGGAATCTAAAGTTGAACTTAAAACAGAGAATGGAGTACCAATTACCAGATACTGGTTTTAGGACAAAAGGAGAGATAATGGTCAAAGGTAAAAACTTTCATTTGTAAGTACTTGAAAGCTTAATATAAAACATGGTGATTTAAGTTAAAACTCATGTAGCGTATACTTGAAATTTAAAACAATAGAAAGTGTTTCTAGAACATAATGAAAAACCATGTGGTGATGGATCTATTAAATCTGTATATTCATCGTCTCACAATTTTTAAGCATATGGCACATCAGGTGGTAGATCTTAAATATAGACAATAGTTTCATTCGTATTAAAGATACTTTAAAGCAGAAAACTATAGTGGAAATTAGAAATTTATAATTGAAGTCATAAAAATAAACAAATATTGAAATGCTTGGAATATTCAAAATTTATCTATAGAACCACTCAGAAAGCCATGTTTATAACCATACAAGATTTTAGAACACAGTGAAGCTTATCCCATATTACATACACATGGTTTCTGTTCCATTTAAAACATCATTTCACTCAAGGTTAAATAATACAAATAAACTTCCCAACATTTCTGACTTTCATGAAGCTTTTTCCCACTGTGAGACACAGGTCAACACTGAACCTCTCAGAATGCTATTTTCACTCTTAGAACATTCTACTGCGATATCTTGCATATTTAGTAAGACTCAAAGAAATACTACAGGGTTAGCATGTTTCTTATTCTACATAGCTTACATGAGTTCTTACATACTGGACTGAGATTATGACGACTCGCCCATGTTCTTAAATTCATGGTATATCCTCAGAATAAGTTTGTCTTTGACATGAACAACAACACTTTTATACACTGCTCATATCCAAGAGTTTTCTCAACTATGAATTCAACTGCAATTACTAAGGATCAAGAGGACTTCCAAAAAGATTTTCTGAATTCCTTACATTCAAAGAGTTTTCCTGTTCATTAATGTCAGAAGAACTAATGAAGGGATCCTCACATTCCTTATATTCATATGGTTTCTCTCCAGTGTGTTTTCGCAAATGTTTATTAAGGCCTGAATGCTCGGTAAAGGCTTTTCCACAGTACTTACATACATAGGGTTTCTCTCCAGTGTGGATTCGCATGTGAACCCGAAGATAAGAGGACCACAGAAATGACTTTCCACATATTATACACTGAAAGGGCTTCTCACCAGTATGAGTTCGCATGTGGACCGGAAGGTAAGAAGAACATGTAAATGTTTTTCCACACACCGTACACTGAAAGAGCTTTTCTCCAGTATGAATTTTCAAATGTACATTAAGATACGAGGAAGAAGCAAAGGCTTTCCCACAGTGGTCACATTCAAAGGGTTTCTCCCCCTTATGACTCCTTATGTGTGCAATAAGGCCTGAGGAAGTAGTGAAGGCTTTCCCACATTCCTGGCATGCATATGATTTCTCCCCAGTGTGATTTCGTAGATGTATAGTAAGGCCTGAGCGTGCAGTAAAGTCCTTTCCACAATAATTGCATTTATAGGGTTTTATTCCAGTGTGAATTCGAAAGTGGGTCTCAAGGGATGAAGAATTTCTAAATGATTTTGTGCATACCTTACACTGAAAGGGCTTCTCACTACTGTGAGTTTTTATGTGCACATTAAGTTGAGAAAAGCTAGTGAATGCCTTCCCACATTCCTTACATTCATAGGGTCTCTCCCCAGTATGTGTTCTTAAGTGCTTAGTAAGGCATGAGCGTTCAGGGAAGGTTTTCCCACATTCCTTACATTCATAAGGTTTCTCTCCAGTGTGAGTTCGCATGTGAATGCGAAGGTGGGATGAAGTTGAAAATGCTTTCTCACACATGTTACACTCAAAGGGCTTCTCTCCAGTGTGAGTTCTCAAATGTCCAACAAGAGATGAGGAATGAGCCAAGGCTTTACCACAGTGGTAACATTCAAAGGGCTTCTCTCCTGTATGAATTCTTATATGTTCAACAAGGGCTGAAGATGTACTGAAGGCTTTCCCACATTCCTTGCAATCATATGGCTTCTCCCCATTGTGTGTTAGTACATGCTTAGTGAGGCCTGAGCGTGCAGTGAAGTCTTTCCCACAGTAATTACATTTGTAGGGTTTTATTCCAGTGTGAATTCGAAAGTGGGTCTTAAGGCAGGAGGAATTTCTAAAGGTTCTTGCACATACCTTACACTGAAAGGGTTTCTCGCCAGTGTGAGTTTTTGTATGTTCAGTAAGTTGAGCAAAGCTGGTGAAGGCTTTCTGACACTCTGTACATCCATAGGGCTTCTCCCCAGTATGGTTTCGTAAGTGTATAGTAAGCCATGAACGCCCACTGAAGGCTTTCCCACATACTTTACATTCATATGGTTTCTCCCCAGTGTGAGTTCGTATGTGACCCACCAGGTAAGAGGAACGTGTAAATGCTTTCCCACATATGTCACACTCAAAGGGCTTTTCTCCAGTGTGAGTTCTCAAATGTGTAGTAAGATAAGATGAAGAGGCAAAGGCGTTTCCACATTGTTCACACTGAAAGGGTTTCTCTCCTGTGTGACTTCTCATATGTTCAGCAAGGCGTGAGGGCTGAAGGAAGGCTTTCCCACATTCCTTGCACTCATAGGACTTTTCCCGAGTGTGTTCTCGTAAATGTACAATTAAGCTTGAGCGCTTGGTGAAGGCTTTCCCACATTCCTTACAATCGTAAGGTTTCTCCACAGTGTGGTTTTGCATATGAATATTAAGGTAAAGAGGATGTGTAAAGAATTTTTCACATTTCTTACATTCATAGTATTTTTTTACAGTGGGCATTTCAACACACCCATCGGGGCTTGTGGAATTAGTAGAAGTTTTCCCACACTGTTCCAATTTGTAGATATTTTCTCCATTGTGAATTCTGCTATGTGCCTGAAGATGTGTCTCATTAACAAAGGTTTTCCCACAGTCACTGCATTCAAAGGATTTATCATCAGTAAATTTTTTCTGGTAAACATCTGGAGTCAAGGTAAAAGGTTTTACACACTGGTTCAACATAGAACGTCTTTCTTCAGTAGAGGTGTTGTTGAGCAATGGAAGGAAGTTTTTTCCATAGGTATTACACTCTGAAGTGTTCTCTTTATTAGGAGTACTTGCATATGTCTGAAGGAATGAGTGTTCACTAAAAACTTTTCCAACTTGCTTAGAGTCACAGTGTTCTTCTCCATTGTGGCTTCTTGCCTATTCATAAAAAGATGAATGAAGATTAAAAGATTTTTCAATCTTTGACAAGAATGTGAACTTGCAGGAACTCTGAAGAACCAAGTATTACACTAAGTTTAGGGCATCTCTCCAGAGAAACTGCGATTGGTAAAGACTACCTAGTTCAAATTATCTCTCATTTGTGCTGACTTCCATCATGGAATTCCCAATCTGCCCTGAACTTGGAAATTAAGAAATATCTCTTTGAATCTTACCAGCTGTATCCCATTTGATGTATCTGACCAAAACACATCCTGCTGAAGTGCTGTCCCTTTGGTTTGAAGGTGCATCTCCCATTCTGCAGTAAAAAAGAAAAACATACAAGGTTTTGAAAGAAAATAATAAATCTCAATTGTATTCATATTAAACATGTTAAGTTTGAGTAGATGACCTGTCTAAAATTTGGCAATCATAAGTATATAGGACCAATATATAGAAATTTATTAACAATTTGTCCTACAAAAATTAAATCTAAAAAAATTAAGGGGCTGGATTTGTGGCTCAGCGGAAGAGCACTTGCCTAGCACGTGCGAGGTCCTGGGTTTGATCCTCAGCTACCGCATAAAGATAAATAACTAAAATAAAGGTATTGTGCCCAACTACAATAAATAAATAAATAGACAAAAATAAAGATAAAAAAAATTAGATGTAATGAACAGAATTAAATATCAGAGAAGGAAAGCAGGAAACATGTGCAACCAAAAACACCATACACTCCCTAGATGTGGTGGCACATACCTGCAATCCCAGGAACTCCAGAAGCTGAGGAAGGATAATTCTAAGTTAGAGGCCTCCCTCAGCAACTTAGAGGGGCTCTAAGCAACTTAGTGAGACTCTGTCTCAAAATAAAAAAGAGGGATATGTAGCTCAGTGGTAAAGTCACCTTGGTCTCAATCCCCAGTACAAAGGAAAGGAAAAAAAGGCTGGACAAAGTAAGGGACTAAGGGAGCATGGGAAGTTGAAGATATCCCAGAACTTACAAGTCCAAGAACCTCAGTTTTCAAATTGAAGGTATTTTTTTTTAAATCTTTTTTTTTTTTTTTTGTAGTTGTAGATGGACAGAATGCCTTTATTTTATTTGTTTATTTTATGTGGTGCTGAGGATCGAACCGAGTGCCTCACACATGCTAGGCAAGCACTCTACCACTGAGCTACAGCCCCAGCCCCTGAAGGTATTTTTTAAGAAGTTTCCTCATACTTCAAAGCTTATAAATGACACAAAATATTTTTTATAAATACTTACCTTGAAGAATGCCTCGTTCTACTATTGTCAACTGCACTTCTTCCTCCAACCAAGAAATCAGGCTGGGTTTCAACAGCTGACGTCCTATACACAGGGAATCATACATTAATGGTGACACTCATGTGTGATAAACCTTCCCATGATAAGTTAACATTTTTTTTTTCCTTTTTTGGTACCAGGGATTAACTCAGGAGCACTCAACCATGAAGCCACATCCCCAGTTCTATTTTCTGTATTTTATTTAGAGACAGGGTCTCACTGAGTTGGTTAGCATTTTGCTGTTGCTGAGGCTGGCTTTGAACTCTCAATTCTCCTGTCTCAAGACTCCTAAGCTGCTAGGATAACAGGCTTGTGCCACCATGCCTGGCCAGTAAACTACATTTTTATGAAAAGGATTTCAATTATTTCTAAACAGCTCAAAATAAAATACTCATGCTTTGGAAGTCCTGAAGAGATCAGTTTTGTCTGATCCCTAAAATCCTCATTTGGTCTTCACTCATATAGAAACCACTTAAAAATTGTAATACTCCTAATGTCTTAGGCATTAAATAAATATTGTGCTGTTTAACTAATATCAAAAAACCCACCAAGACATTTCTTTCACAAGGATATAATAGAAGCGCAGAAAGGTCCTCATTCTCAAACAAAAACATTTGCAACAGTGGTTCCTAAGTTCAGATTGCTTTTTTTAATTCCAGGGGCTGGGGATGTGGCTTAGTGGTAGAACGCTTGCCTAGTATGTGTGAGGCACTGGGTTCAATTATCAGCATTGCATATAAATAAATTAAATAAAGGTATTATGTTCATGTAAAACTAAAAATTTTTTAAAGTAATAAAAGTAATAAAATTCCACTCTACATTATTAAGTTCAGATTTCATGTTGAAGAACTGTTAAAACATGAGCGACAAAGACAAAATCTCAAAAGGGACTTTTTAAAAAATATTTTGTTTTTAGTTGTAGATGGATAAACAACTTTATTTATTTTTATGCGGTGCTGAGATCAAACCCAGTGCCTCACACGTGCCAGGCAAAGCACTGTACCATTGAGCCACAACCCCATCCCTAGAAGGTATATTTCTCTAATACAATGATAGTGATGCTATTGATCCTAAAGATATCTGGTTGAGAATAATCATAGTAGATTAAGGGACTGGGTCTCTATTACTTTCCATCATACCACTGTATTCTAGCTGATACCACTAATCCTGGAATGCAGTTATTACAAATTACAAAATATATTTCTATTTCTGAAAGGCTACAAAAAATGATGGCAGTCTTACCTACTGTAGACAAGTTCTGGAAGTTCTCCAGCATCACATCTTTATAAAGGTTTCTCTGAGTTGGGTCCAGTGAAGTCCACTCCTCCTGGGTAAAGTCCACAGCCACATCTTCAAAGGTCACCGAATCCTAAAGCACCACACACATGAGGTTTGAGGCAAGTAACATCTCTACCCAATATTCAATGGTGAATGAGAAAGTGACACCAATATTCACATAGGATGGTTAGGTCTTCCATATTCTATCCCAGGTTCAGAGGTCCTGAGAAACCTCTCTATTCACACTTATTCACTGTGGATCTACTCCAATCATATGGTTTTTGTACCTCTTACACATAAAACTTCTCTCTCCACAAACAGACTGGGAGTTTTCTCATTTTATTTCTCCATTGTAACATACTCCTGAAGCATACTACAAAGACTCAATAAATCAAGTTATAGAAATTCTTTGAAAAAAGACACTTTTATTTTCCTTACTATCTGTTAGAACACTGGAAAAAAATGAAAGTATCTAATAGGCACAAGGGAACTTAATATTCATGATAATAAAAAAATACTGAAAAAATTTCAGGTTAATCCCTCACCAATATTAGTGTGTCTTTCTGAGGGAAATTCAACTAAAACCTTAGTCTTCACATAGATCTTTTTCCCTCTGAAAAACTCTGCAGACAGGTCTACCTACAAGGAAATGTGTCTTCCTGGTCAGTCTATTTTGTCATTTGGGGGATGTAAACAATAAGTTTGACAGCAAATTTGGATATCCCTAATTCATCATTACCAGATTTAGTGTTCTAAGGTACTGTGTTCTCTAGTGTGAAATCTGTTTCCCTCAAGTATCTTTCCATATCCTGACATCCAATAATGGAGTACCCAATCTTACCTGAATGTGTAAAACAGTAAATACACTTTTATTAAACTTACTAGTTGTATATCACTGGAGGTATGTTCAGTCAAAAAATTCTGCTGAAGTGCTGAATCTTTGGTTTTTAGTTGCATATCCAATTCTGAAATCAAACCAAAATAATAACAATAATTTAGGTTTAAAGAAAGAAATAGCAAGGCTGGGGTTGTGGCTCAGTGGTAGAGCGCTTGCCTCATACATGTGAGGTACTGGGTTTGATCCTCAGCACCACATAAAAATAAATAAAGATATTATGTCTATATATATCTAAAAATATATGTATATTAGAAGAAAAAGAAAGAAATAGCAGATTAAAGGAGTTAAAAATAAATCTTTGGGATGAGGCATGCCTATAATCCCAGTGGCTCAAGAGACTGAGGCAAGAGGATACCAAGTTCAAGCCAGCCTCAGCAACTTAGCAAGGCCCTAAACAACTCAGTGAGACCCTGTCTCAAAATAAAAACTGGGGATGTGGTGCAGTATTAAGTGCACTGGGTTCAATCTCTTGTACCAAAAATAAAATAAGTCTTGCCAGGCAGGGTGGGGCATGCCTGTATTCTCAGTCACTAGGGAGGCTGAGGCAGGAAGATCACAAGTTCAATTCAGTAAGACCCTCAGCATCTTAGGACAGTCTCAAAGTAAAAATAAAAATAAAAATGAACTGGGAGTATTTGATGTTCAGATCTTCTGTACTTTCTGTCCTGATGTTCTGTGAGCTCATGAAACATTTTTAAAATTTTTTTGTATAGACAGCATGCCCTTTTATTTTGTTTGTTTATTTTTATGTGGTGCTAAGGATTGAACCCTCACATGTGCTAGGTAAGTGCTCTTCTGCCCCTAGGCTATGGCCACAGCCCATATATTATTATTCTTTAGGGTCATCATTTTGAGGTATGTATTTTGATATTTGATGTTCAAATTTTTCTTCCTGGGCTGGGGTTGTGGCTCAGCGGTAGGCACTTGCCTTGCATGTGCAAGACCCTGGGTCCGATGCTCAGCACCACATAAAAATAAATAAGTGAAATAAAGGTATTGTGTCCAACTACACTAAAAAATAAATATTTAAAAAAATACATACATCAAAATGATGAACCTGAGTAATAATATGTTGTTTCACGAGCTCAAAGAACACTGGGACACACAGTAAAACATTCTGGAGTTAAAGATAACTTCTGAGTTCCCTTGCTATTGTTTCCAAATATAGTGAATCTGTCACTGATCAGGGCTGTTCTCCACAAACACTCACCTTGGAGAACTCCTGTGTGCATGGTCATCAACTCTTCCTCTTCTTCCAAGGAAGATGCAGGGCTGGGTTTGATAAGCGTCTGACATCCTGCACATGGGAAAAGATGCATTCACAAAAGAGATGATAAATCTTCCTATGATTCAGGTCTATAATTCTCATGAAAGCAGTGAAATTATTTCAAAGCCTTATCCCAAAGTTTGGTAACCTCAGACCCCCAAAGTCTTACAACAAAGTAAAACTAGTGACTCATAATTATTATAGTGCATGAGATTTAAGTGGAGGAATTGACAGACACAATGGACAACTAGAGTCTGAGTATGTCAAAGGTGGAAATCAAGACTACATTTCAACAACAGTAAATGATGCTAGTGAACCTGGACCTGGACAACATTTTAAGTAGGTTGGGGATACAGTGCAGTGATTAAGCATGTCAACAGCACATGTAAGACCCTGGATTTGGGGCTGGGGATGTGACTCAAGCGGTAGCACGCTCTCCTGGCATGCGTGCGGCCCGGGTTCGATCCTCAGCACCACATACAAAAAAAGATGTTGTGTCTGCCGAAAACTAAAAAATAAATATTAAAACACTCTCTCTCTCTCTCTCTCTCAAAAACAAAAAAAAAGACCCTGGATTTAACATATAGCATCACACACAGGGGAAAAAAAACGTGCCACAATAGATTAGAATGTATTGGGAGGGCTGGGGATGTAGCTCAGTGGTAGGCTGCTTGCCTAGCAGGCCCAAGGCCCTAAATTCAATCCCCAATAATGCAAAGTGAAAAAAAGGGGGAAAAAAAAAAGTATTAGGGAAGATTGTGTTTGCTAGTTCCCATTCACAGAGGTGACATTATGGATCCTACAGCACAGTAAATACTTTGCATATACCTATTCCGTATGAGGTTATAAGGAATGATGGCAGTCTTACCTACTGTGGCCAAGTTCTTACAGTTCTTCACTGTCACATCATTATGTGTTTTTCTCTGAGTTGGTTCCTCTAAAGTCAACTCCTCCTGGGTGAATTCCACAGCCACATCCTCAATGCTCACTGAATCCTAAATAATCACACACATTATGTCCTAAGCCAAGTAATATCTTCACCAATTTTCACAGGAGAATAAGGATGGTGGAACCAATGCCTATGCTGAGAGGTGAATTCCTTCACCTCCTACCCTTAGTCCATTCAATGGCCCTAAGGACTATTTTCTGTATCCACAGTCACTCACTATTCATCTACTCCACTCATATGGCTGTAATGGCACTTCTCAAACATGAACTTATCTCACCACAAGGCAAAGCCATTTATATTTTTTCCTCTTTTATTCCTGAGCACACAGCACACATTTGATAAACTGATAAATGAATAAAAGTATTCAAGAAAAAGACATTTTTATCTTCCTTATCTTTCAGAAGACAGCAAATTGAGAAACATGCATTTGGAACCACGGGAATCAAGATTACTTATTAATTACTAGAATATTGTAATGATTTTCAAGGTAATCCTTCACCTATGTGAAAAGCTTCATTCCTGGAAAAATTCAACCAGGGACTCAGTCCTTGTATGAGGCTTTATTTCCCTTAAGAAATCATGTGAGCAGAAAGATCAGTTAAGTAGAAGAAAGTAAAAAGAACAAGGGAAAGGAGAAGAATGGAAGGGAAAATACTGGGGACTGAATCACAGGAAATTATGTTCCATGCTTGTACAATTATGTCAAAATGAATCCTAATGTTATACTGCAAACCAGTAAGTGTAAGTAAACATACATCTAGTTGGTAGAAGCAGCCATGTCAGTTTATAGAATGAAAAACATTCATGATACCTGATCATTTCTCAGGCAATCAGCCACTAGACTTTCTTCCTCTGTCTCATCTTCATGACTATACACTGGGTCCACAGGTAGTAGACCTCCTGAAAAATAAGATAATCCAGATCTGACCAGAAGCCCACATTTACGTGATGACATCATTCCATCCTAATTCAAAATTCCCGTACAATTGAACACACTCAGGAAAATTCACAAACAGAATCTCTAGGAACATACAATGCCACAGCAATGCTGTATCACTTACACTCAGAAAAAAGGACAGTAAGCCATGCGCTCTTCAAGAAAAGAATCCTGGTCTCACTTCACAAGTTTCTTAACTTGAGCCCTCAGAAATGTGACTCTTCATTTCCCCATAGCAACTTTAGTCATAAACAAGATTATGTAATATCTCTTCCCTCAACACATACCAGGAGGCTGACATAAAACAGCCCTCTCTTGCTCTCTTTAGGACCTCAGTGAAAATCTAGCAACATGACTGTTCTGTCCCAGACCTCTGGCTTTGTATTGGGCAGGGGGTACCTAAAGCAGATTTTCTGAAAAACAGCAACAGGACTTACCATGGGACAAATTGGTAACATCCATGTTAGTCTGATCCTGAAATATTCGTGATCACTCTCTTCAGGGATTCCAAGGACACGTCAAGGTAACTTATGAATCTAAGTGAATAGTGGCAATACTTACTCCTCTTTAAATAGGGTTATTGGATTCCTGTTGATATCATTAATCAACAAATAATACTTAGTAATTATCAAACATTATACATTCTCTCTCCTAATGACAGCTCTCAATCTATCTAAAAATTGTATACCATATAACAAGATTAGTAACAACTGCCATTTATTGAGTAACCCCATTTTCAGTAAGTTACACAAGTTTTTTTTAAGAAAATATTTATTTTTATGTGGTGCTGAGGATCGAACCCAGGGCCTCACACGTGCTAGGCGAGTGCTCTATCACTGAGGCACAATCCCAGACCACAAGCAGCTTTTATGTACATGCATATATGCTAAATTATATATAGCTATTATTACTCTATTATTCAATTATTTCTAACAATCTCTCCCAGAAGATTATCATAATCACTAATGATGAAACCACCTAGATTCAGAAAACACAAATGACTGTTCTAATATCATGTAGTGAGGAAATGGTTAACCAGGACTTTGAAGTGGTTAACTGTGCCCCTAAAGTCTAATCCTCTGTGGTTATCATTATATTCTAAATTACAACCATATAAAGGATTCTGGAAACTGGTCCCTGATGTGTTTGTTAGCCTTTCATTGCTGTGACAGAATACTTGACATAAACAATTTACAGGAAGAAAGGTTTACTTTGGCTCAAGGTTTTAGAGGTTTCAGAGGTTTCAGTACAGACAGGTAGCTCCATTACTTTGAGTAGAACATCATGGCAGAACATGGAAATGCAAAGGAAAACTACTGAGCTTATGGCAGCCAGGAAGAAGTGGAGTAAGTGGGAGGGCAGATCAGAGTATAGTCCTCAAGGATACAATGCTAGTAACCAACTTCCTTCAACAATGCCCAACCTGCCTAGTTTCCACTTCTTAGTGGTCCGTTCAAACTATTAACCCATCAAATGGATTAATCTACTGATGAAATCAGAGCCTTCATAATCTAATAACTTCCAAAGTCCACCCCTGAACAGAATACATTTCAACTATTGCTTAGCCTCAGCAGAGTCTCAAACACTATGTTCTGACCTCTGCTTGGTGCTCAAGGCAGAGTAAAGAAAATATCTGGGGCTAGGATTGTGGCTCAGCAGTAGAGTGCTCGCCTAGCATGGGCGGGCCCCGGGTTCGATCCTCAGCACCACATAAAAAAATAAAAAGACATTGTGTTGTGTTCATCTACATCAAATAAATAAATAAATAAAATCTGCAAGGACAGCACCAAATTGAAGTTTGCCAAACTCCTGATAATTTGGTGGGTCTTATGAAAGAACCTTATAGTATTACCAATAGGTCTGTTTTTTCAATAGTTCTGCTTCTATTTTTTTCTTATTCCTTCATATAACCTTCTCTTTCATATTAAAAAAAATAAATAAAAATAAAAGATGCAATAAAGAACATCAACAACAGACTAAAGGGACAGAATAAAGAACCCATGATCTCTAAGACAGGGCATTAGAAAAATGTAGGGTCAAACGAGAAAGTTAAAAAAAAAAAAAACAAAAAAAAACTTAAGGTATTTATGGAAATGTAACAAAACAGCAAATTCTGATATACAGTACTTCAACAGGAAAGAGAAACAATGAGGTAGAAACAATACTGGGCTAACAAAGAACTTTTCTAGCACACATTAGCCCTCAGAAATGAAAGAGATGCCTTTACAACTGAATCCAATGATACAAAACAATCACAGAACAAATTTGGCAATCTAACAGCAATGAACAAATTTCTAGATAATAAAACCTACCAAAATTAAATGAGGGGCTGGGGCTGTAGCTCAGTCCCCCAGCACTTGCCTAGCATGTGTGAAGCACTGGGTTCAATTCTTTGCACCACATAAAAATAAAAACAAAACAAAATAAAGGCATGTTGTTAATCTACAACTACAAAAAATTAAAAAAATAAAAAAGATTAAATGAAGAGGGCCGGATGTGGTGGTGCACGCCTATAATCCTAGTAACTAGGGAGATTAAGATAGGAGAATGGTGAGTTCAAAGCCAGCCTCAACAATTTATCGAGGCCCTAAGCAACTCAGTGAGACCCTATCTCTCAATAAAATACAAAATAGGGCTGGGGATAGGGCTCAGTAGTTGAGCCCCCCTGGGTTCAATCCCAGTAACAAAAAAGAAAGAAAAAGATTAAATGAAGAAGAAACAAAATACAAGTGGTTAAGCAAGGAGACTGAATCACTAATCAAAAATCTAACATCCAGGGGCCGCGGTGTAGCTAGAAATAGAACATTTGGGGGCTAGGGTTGTGGCTCACCGGTAGAGCACTCGCCTAGCACGGGTAGGACCTGGGTTCGATCCTCAGCACCACATAAAATGTATTGTGTTGTGTCCATCTACACCAAAAAATAAAAAAGAAAAAAAAAAAAAAAGAAATAGAACACTTGCCTAGTATGCCAGGGCCGGGACTCCATCCCCAGAACAACCAAAATAAAAATAATAATTATTATTACCATTGTCATCATTAACACTGTGACAATGATGATGATAATAATAATTAATTTACCAGCAAGGAACAGCCCAGATTCAGTGTCTTACAGCTGCACTCTACATACAAAATGTCTAAATAACTAATAGGAATCCTTTTCACACCCTTTGAAATACTGAAGAGCAAATAACTCCAAATTCATTTTATGAGGACAGCATTACTGTTATCAAAGTCAGATAAGGACAATATGAAAAAATAAAATTACAGACAAATATTTATGATTAATGCAGGTATAAAACTTTTCACCAAAATACTAAAACACAGCACATGGAATCATTCACAAAGAGGAAGTAAAATTTATCCCCGGGATAAATCTCAAATGCCCAAAACAACCTAAGGAATTTTCGGGGAGGGGGTAGGGATTGCGGGGGGTGGGATGAAGCCAGAGCCACACTAAATTAATTTGAAAAATCTACCACAAAGCTATAGGAAACAAAATTGCATACAGTGAAATAAAATTGTACCCACAGGATAATGAAACAAAACACAGTACCCAGAAGCACATCTATACATTTAACGTCAATTGATCTGCAGGCTATATATAGGATAAGGAGTTCAATTTCAAAATGAGTTACTATGGCCATTTTGAAAAACAGTACAAAGGTTTCTCAACGAATTAAAAATAAAGCTAGGTATGGTGGCACTAACCTATAGTCCCAGCAACTCACAGGAGGATTTCAAGAACAAGTCAGCCTCAGCAACTCATAGCGAGACCCTTAGCAACTTAGTGAGATCCTGTCTTTAAAAAAAAGGCTGGGGTGGCCGGGGTTGGGGTTGTGGTTGAGAGAGAGAGTACTTGCCTAGCATGCGTGAGGCACTGGGGTTCAATCCTTAGCACCACATAAAAATAAAATAAATATATTGTTTGTGTCCACCTATAACTAAAAAATAAATATAAAAAAAAAAGACTGGGGATGTGGCTCAATCATTGGTACCAAAATGAAAATAAAACTGCCATTTAATATAGCAATCCCTCTACTGGGTATATTTCCAAAGAATATGAAATCAGAACACCTCAGACATCTTGCATTCCCATTCATGCAACACTACTGACAATAGCTATTTCAACAATTCAAGTGTCCAAAAAAGAATGAATAGATAAAAGAAAATGTAATATATATACTCACTGTAGAATATTATTCAGCTTTAAAAAAGGAAATCTTTCCTTGGTGACAACATGGATAAACCTAGAGGGCATCATGGCAAGTGAAATGAGCCAGAAGCGGAAAGAAAAATATCAAATGACCTCAATATAAATGGGATTAAAAAAAACTGAACTCAGAAACAGTAAAATGGTGGAATGGTGGTTATCAGAGACTTGGAGGGAAGGAGTTTGGAGATACTAGGAAAGGATACAGAATTTATTAAATAAGAGGGTTAAATTCAAGAGACTTATTTTATATCACAGTGACTACAATGAATAGCAATATACTAGATACTGGAAAGTTGCTAAGAATAGATTTTTACATGCACTAACTATACGCACACACACAAAGTATGTGCAGTTATATACATTAAACAGCCAGTTCACAACACAAAAAGACATAAAATGTTCTATATGAAAAATACATGTACTGTTTAATTGTGAATCATAACAAACTAAAACTAGAAAAATAAATAAATAAATTTTAAAAATAAGGACAAAACATGTCTGATTTCCCCTTGCAGTAACAAAGGAGCAATACCAAATAAGAGTTTAATTGACTCTTATATATATACCAGGCAGTGAGGCCCTACTGAGAAGGCCCCTTATCAGAAGGTCTACATGGAATACATAATGTGGTCTCACTGGTGTTTTGATTATCCACAGTTTACAATCAGGAGGGCAAGAAGGGAAACACCTAGTGGTCTGCACCTCGTAGTCTGGACTAGATAATCACAAATCTTGCCCAAACCTATTTTTATACATTTTTATCTTGCCCCTACCACACTAAAGGCAAGAGGTCATGATGATCAAGGTTGTATATTCTCCGGGTCCTGATTAGCAACAGAGTCTCTCAGAAGTCATGGTATTGTTTATTTGATATGGAATCTATTTAAATATAAACTTTCATCTGAAAAAACAAAACTAGCCAGGTACAGCAGTAGACACCTATAATCCCAGCAGTTCAGGATGCTGAGGCAGAAGGATAGCAAATTCAAAGCCAGCCTCAGCAATTTAGTGAGGCCCTAAGCAACTAAGCAAGATCCTACCTCAAAATAAAAAATTTTTAAAAAAGGGTTAGGGTTATGGCTTAGTGATTGAGCACCCCTGGGTTCAATCCCAAGCACACCACCACCCCCACACACAAAAAAAAATTAAAAAATGAAAACAAAACTAAAAGCCCTTAGGCAGATCAAGAATGTGTATTCTCCAGGTACTTGCTCTTAGGTGGCAGAGTTAAGATCAACAGTTTATAAAAACAGGTCTGGACAAGATAAACAAATGCAGGAGATAATTCATTTTAGTCTAATTTAAAAGGAATTGTTTGTGGAGACCACTGTGTTTGTCAATTAGACTAATTATACAGGACCCACCAGGAACATAAAAGTTCCAATCAAATTATTTTCTAAAATCCTAGCAACTATAAATTATTTTGAAAAGTAAACAAGCTTATCTTAGTTATTACCAGTAATGTCTGTAATCCCAAAAAGGCTATTGTTGTTAACATCTAGTATTGTGGCCTCAATAATAAAAAGGCATGTGATTCTTACTTTCTACCTGTGAGATAAAAGATCCCAAAAGATAAAAGATTTGTTTTGTTTCCTGAGATCATCTTAAGCAATGTGTTGCTCAGCACTCTAGCACCAAGATGAATTCAAGTTTTGCCAGTTTCCTGGATCTTTGTCCTTTATTAGGGACAGTGGATAAAGGATGAGAAACAGCAATATTCTTCTAAGTTCAATTATGCATGACATTCAACAGTGCCATTCATATGGTCCATGAACTTCCAGTGCTATTCTCTCAATTAATCCTAAGGGGTTCTTAAAGCATCCAAAGATACAGAAAAGAGGTAATTTCTTCCAGTACTGTATTGTCTATTAAGGGACTGAAAAGAAGGAAAACACTTTCTCCTTTAAGTGAAACATCAGATCTAGATTTGGTTCCAGATGTCTGGAAAGACTACAATAGCAATGACAACTGTTGTGGGTACTGATGACCCAGAGCATAATGCACAGCGGGGGGGGGGGAGTACAGATAACGAACAGCTCTGGATCTCTGAGATCTTTTATTTCCAGGGAACCCAGCAGATAACCAGTCTTTGCTTATCTTAATGATATGTGGCAACTCCTTATATCAGAGCCTAGGGGCAACTAGATTATCATATATGATCCAGAAACTACAGAGGCATTAGAAGAGGTTACTAAAGCCTCTATAGTAAAAAAGTCCCTGATTATTTTAATTTATAATTATAACTTATTAAGTGAGGAATATGTTCCTACCAGAAGCAAAAAAGGACTAAAAAATATTATATATTAGTGTGACAACTGAATGTTGTTCTGGAGGAAGACATTATCAGTATTATATCATACCTGTGGTCCTGGAGAAAGGGGGCTACAATGGAGGTATTATCTCCAGAGACTGTGTGTGATAAGAAAGGTGTTGAGGTACCTCAGGACAGCCTTCCAAGGTCTGACCAGACAGCACGCCACTTCTGGGAAGCTGTTAAAACAGGAAATGAATGGAATATTAATCAAAGTATAAAAAAAAACAAAATACTTACCAACTATTATTGCACAGAATCAGTAATCTTAATATTATTGAAAGTTGACTATAGGAAGCTTTATGAATGGAATCACAGCATTTAAGACTTCAGTACTTGATTATCAGTACCATTTACTTACTCATTTATTTCTGGATTTAAGAATAGGTAATGAAGACTGATCAAAAGGAGAAACAGTGGAGAAAGGTTTTATAATATTTTATCCTTGAAGACCATATATTAATTGATTTTGGGTCATATGAACTATCTTAATTAAGGCCCAGAGAGTTTCATGTGTTAAACCAAACATAAATGACAGGAATATACTTTAATTTGCTATATATTGAGCATACGTAGGGATGTTTTAAGGCAAAAAATACTGTTACTGTAAGAAAATTTAAAAAATAAGATCAAGTGTTGGGGAATGTACAGTGGTTGTCTAGCATGTTTTTGTTAAGGTCCTGTGTTCAATCCCATGTTGAGGAAGGAAAAAAAAAAAAGAAAACAAAAAAAAATGTAGTCAACCCTACAGTTAAAAGTGAAAGAATACCAATTTTTCCTCCATGTTGTGTAAGGTACATGTGTAGGGCTATAAAAGAACAATGTTTAAATTTAGGAAGATATCCAAGTATGACTATTGAGTGCCAATTTTCTTGTGTGTGTGGTACTTAGCATTAAACCCAGATCCTTGTGCATGCTAGGCACATTATGCATGAGCAAAACCCAAATAATGCCCTTTATGTAAACTTGGTATTTAATGAGACCAAATTATGAAACTTCTTTTAAATTAATGTGCCATAAATTTATTTCATATTATTTACACTAAAATATCTTAATGCATAGTAGAGCATGATGGCATGTGCCTGCAGTACCAGCTACTCAAGAGGCTAAGACACAAATAATCACTTGAGCCCAAATGTTCTAGACTAGTCTGGGCAGCATAGAGAGAATCTGTATCAAAAAATAAATCAATTACATATTCTAGAATGTATATAATCTACTTAATTTCCTTATATTTCTCTCATGATACCTATGGATTGGATATTTAATCACTAATCTACAGCTACCATTATCTTTGCTCAATCTGGCACTTACATAATATAATGTTCTTTTGCTATTCCCCTTGGGCTCAAATTGGATAAAGTGATTCTTTATCCCCACTTTTTAAAAATTTTATTTTAGGCATTAGCTACCTTAAGCCTAGGTATTTTGTCTCTGGCTGTTAAAGAGGAAGAATGGTGACTGCAGGTGCCAGGAACCTCTTGTCCCCCTCTCCCTAGGATGACCCTTGTCCATAAGATAATTATTTCCACTGGAAATCCATATGCAACAAAATGAAACTGAATCCCTTTCTCTCGCCATGCACAAAAGTTAATTCAAAATGGATCAAGGAGCTTGATATCAAATCAGAGACGCGCCGTCTGATAGTAGAAAAAGTTGGCTATGATCTACATACTGTGGGGTCGGGCTCCAAATTCCTCAATAGGACACCCATAGCACAAAAGTTAATAACTAGAATCAACAAATGGGACTTACTCAAACTAAAAAGTTTTTTCTCAGCAAAAGAAACAATAAGAGAGGTAAATAGAGAGCCTACATCCTGGGAACAAATCTTTACTCCTCACACTTCAGATAGAGCCCTAATATCCAGAGTATACAAAGAACTCAAAAAATTAGACAATAAGAGAACAAACAACCCAATCAACAAATGGGCCAAGGACCTGAACAGACACTTCTCAGAGGAGGACATACAATCAATCAACAAGTACATGAAAAAATGCTCACCATCTCTAGCAATCAGAGAAATGCAAATCAAAACCACCCTAAGATACCATCTCACTCCAGTTAGATTGGCAGCCATTATGAAGTCAAACAACAACAAGTGCTGGCGAGGATGTGGGGAAAAGGGTACACTTGTACATTGCTGGTGGGACTGCAAATTGGTGGAGCCAATTTGGAAAGCAGTATGGAGATTTCTTGGAAAGCTGGGAATGGAGCCACCATTTGACCCAGCTATTCCCCTTCTCGGTCTATTCCCTAAAGACCTAAAAAGAGCATGCTACAGGAACACTGCTACATCGATGTTCATAGCAACACAATTCACAATAGCAAGACTGTGGAACCAACCTAGATGCCCTTCAATAGATGAATGGATAAAAAAAATGTGGCATTTATACACAATGGAGTATTACTCTGCATTAAAAAATGACAAAATCAGAATTTACAGGGAAATGGATGGCATTAGAGCAGATTATGCTAAGTGAAGCTAGCCAATCCCTAAATAACAAATGCCAAATGTCTTCTTTGATATAAGGAGAGTAACTAAGAACAGAGTAGGGTCGAAGAGCATGAGAAGAAGATTAACATTAAACAGGGATGAGAGGTGGGAGGGAAAGGGAGAAGGGAAATTGCATGGAAATGGAAGGAGACCCTCAGAGTTATACAAAAGTACATACAAGAGGAAGTGAGGGGAAAGGGAAAAATAATACAAGGGGGACAAATGAATGTCAGTAGAGGGGGCAGAGAGAGAAGAGGGGAGGGGAGGGGAGGGGAGGGGAGGGGGGATAGTAGAGGATAGGAAAGGCAGCAGAACACAACAGACACTAGTATGGCAATATGTAAATCAATGGATGTGTAACTGATGTGATTCTGCAATCTGTATATGGGGTAAAAATGGGAGCTCATAACCCACTTGAATCAAAGTGTGAAATATGATATATCAAGAACTATGTAATGTTTTGAACAGCCAACAATAAAAAATTAAAAAAAAAAAAAAAGGTAATTATTTCCCTTCTCCTTTTACCCTCATGCACAAAATCTTCTTTTCTCTCCACTGTTAATATCTTTTCCCTTTGTCTAACATATCTCACAAACTCCTGATGGACCTGAGCAGTTAAATCAGTCTCCCTCTCTGGAGGGTCATTATCAGTTTTAGAGGGTCTGCAGACCACACCTAGAGATCAGTTAAGAGAGCAATACTGGCCTAAATTTGTTAATTTTTTTTAATAATTTACAGCAATAGACCTGTTACCTCACATGATTTCAGAAACATCTTCAAGTGGAGAGAGATCCAAGTGCTCTTTCCCTCCAAATTCACTTTTTTTTTTAAATTTTTACAGTGAGTCACCAACCTGGTCACCATGTATGCGATCTGCCATAACCCATGGGTGGGAGCGTAAAGAGCAACATCAACAAGGGATATACCAGAGAATTATTCATTGCCATAGGAACAAGATTCTTCCTCACCAGAATAAAGTTCTAGATGTGGCTCTGCTTTTCTACTGGTTATATTTCTGCTAGAACCCACCTGCACACTCAAATGCTTTACCTATAACCATGGCACTCACAGCCTTCTTTCTCATCAAAAAACTCTTTTCACTGCCATGTTCATGCCATCAAGTGGTTTTATCATACACTGTCACTCATAAATAGTTTATCTGAATGAAAGGTAGAATGGCTTATTGAACATTCACTTACAGGGCCAAATGGAAGAGACTACTCTAACAGAAGGGATTCCATCTCACAGAACAGGTTATATGCTTTGAATCAGAGTTTCACATGGTACTGTTTCCCACAGACAAAATGCCCTGGACCAGGAATTGATGGTAAAAGTGGAATTGTTCCTTAAACTATTTTTGCTTCCAATGCCAGCAATTTACAAATGCTTCAGGTCTGAAGATCTTAGTTAGGAATGCTTCCCAAGGAAACACAATTACATCTTAGTACACTGGAGGTTGAGATTGACACCTGGCCATTTTGGGCTTCATATGGCAATAAACCAAGAAACAAACAAGTTTAAAAACAGATAATGGGTGGGGGGAGTAATCTATTGGCAGAATTAATTAATCTCAAATACCAAAGGGAAAATGTAGCACTACCACACAACTGGAACAAGATGGAAGTGTACAAACCACAAGGACTTCTAAACTGCATAGAATAAGCTGATAGAAAATTACAACTGAAAAAGGCAGGATAAGGGAGGACATGGACTCTTGGGGAATAAGGTTTTGAGTGACTCCACCAGGTACACAGAGCAGTTGAAATTCTGACTCATGACAGCATAACAGGAAATATAAATATGGTCATAAATGAAATGAACTATAAACTACAGTCTTGAGACCAATTACAGTTTTGTGTTTTTTTCTTTCCTTGTCCTAGGTATGTCTTTACTAACAAACTAATAATTGCTATATTGTATACATGTATAAAATATGTAACAACAAATCTCATCATTATGTATGACTATAGAGCATCAATAAAAAATGTCAAAGAAAAAATAAAAATGAGCAAAAGAAAAAAATAACCATTCTTTTTCCTAATTTTATATACATGAGAGATTAAGTTTATAATATTATCTTCAGTTATCAGAATATTCAGTGAGGAAGTAAATTTGAGGAGTAATTAACATGGTTTGGGGGGTAGACACAATGACTATAGGACTACGCATTTTTCACTCTTTGGAGAAGAATTGAGTTTTTTTTTTTTTTCCTTTTTATCTTCTTAAGCAGAAATATGATACCTGTTTAATTATTTTGAGGACTATCCAATGTGTGCAGAATGGATGGTAAACAGCCAAAGAATGGACTGTGCTCATCAATTTATCTCAGCTCCAATTTCATTTTCAATACCTGCTATGGAATAAAAGACCATATTTTCATTTTAAGTTTAACTTAAAACCATATTTTCATATGTACAATAACAGATGTTATGCTTGAATATAAAGGGTGTCATAAACTTCATCTACTCGCTACCTTAGCATCCCTTTATATCTTCAGATAAGCTATTTGAAATCTAGTCATGCTGGGCATGACGGCACACATCTATAATCTGAACTACTCAGGAAGCTTATGCAGAAGGATCACAAAATTGAGGCGTAAGACCCTGTCTCAAATAAAAAAGGGCTGGGATATGGTTCAGCAGTAGACCACCCCCTTGTATGGTGAAGGCGTTCCCAAATCAT